AAAAATATACTTATTGTTGCAAGTATACATTTGTGGAGATTTCAAGCGCAAACAGATCACTTAGATCTTTAAGAAATTGAAAAAATTAAAATTGAAAACAAGAGGACAATGAATTTTTGAACTGGCTATGGGAGGATTCCCGCGTTTTTTTTGAAACGCAAATAATACCTGATTTTGGCGCCACCAGTTTGGCGCATAATTTTTCACAATTTCGATTTTCGAAGTGAAAAACGCGAAAGAACACAACGGAATGAATGTTTTCACCTCGAAACCGCGAAATGAGAAGTGAAATGGGATGAAACGCAATCAGTCAGCCGATAATGCACGAATTCTTTTCTGTCGCTGTCGATTATATCAATGGCGAGAACGCGTGTCATAATGCGGCTTTTTAGCGCCATCTGTGACGTACACATGCAAACGCTATGCCAATGACGTATTTAAACAGCTGCTATCCCCATTCATATCTCTAATTCCTGCCGGAGGATGACAAATTCTGATTAATTCAATTAATTTCTAAAGGCCCGTTTTTCCCAATGTAGATTAATTTTAATTTCGGTTCAACTAGCGAATTTAGTTGGATGCATTAATGTATATTAAAACCGTTGTACACTGATTTAACTAATTGTATAAAAATAAAATGAAAATATTTCGAATTATAAAATACAGACTTTATTTAACAGCTTAATAAAATGTATTAAGGATTTTATATTTAATCCGTTTTTATATTTCTATTAAACACATATTCAATTTGTGTATGGCAGCTTTAATGTACACCAGTATGCACTAAGTGCATCCAATCGAATTCGCTACTCTTCATCTTCTTTAATTTTACAGCTGATTCTTCATGCGCAGCATGCTGCAGCAACAAAATGTTATTACTGGTTAAAAAATTTTAGCGAGGTGACACATTTTTAATCGAGTTCTCGAAAATTTGAATCACATGACATTTTGTTATCGCACTGCGTATGAAAAATCGGTTTTAAAACTATAAAAGGATGAAGAATAAATTGAACCAAGATTAATCTATTAGGTGTTGGAATTAATTCGTAGCGTTTTTAATGAAAGAATGTTATTTATTTCACATGAGCATTAAAAAATACATTAATGAAAGTACTTCCCATCACTTGTAAAACGCTACGAATTAATTCCAACACCTAATACAATATACATATATTGACGAAAAAAAATAAAACTCATAAAATCATTAATTTATAAAACAACCTGGTAAAAAATTTTTCATGAATATATATAAACATACATAAATATTCATAAACATGTATTCTTGAGGCTTCCACGGATGCATTCTATATAAAGATTTATTATGCGTTTCATGGGTTTCCTCCATGTCCAGATCCATTCTTGGAATGCCAACTTGGACTTAAGTCGCTATTCCAGTTTTTTTTACGGTCACTTTATGATGTAAAATTGATTTTTATTTTTTATGAACATAAAACAAAATAAAAGTAAATTAAATTGATAGATAAAACAAATATTCTTAATACTTTCTATTTCTATAACAAACACATTTTTCTTAATTTTAGACTTATGCCACTTGTCAACTAAAGGGTGCATATATGAAATATTGTATTTCCATACATGTATCAATCAATTTCTTTTGTAAAATTACTTTTTAGTGTAATAGAAATAATAATAATAGTAATGTGAAAACATAAAAAATAAATAAAGGGATAATTTTTGCAGTGTTCGTTTAAAAAAAAAAAAACAATTTTGAAGAAATATAAAAAAAAATTGCTCATGCACAATTATGCATAATTTTGTATACAATTATACATAAGAAATTTTTTTTACATTTCTTTAAACTTGATTTTTTCTAAAACAAATAGTGTGAAAATTAATCTTTTAATTATTTTTGATGTTTTCACATTACTGTTAATATTTCTATTATACTAAACAGTAATTTTACAAAAGAAAGAGGGATATATGAATAATGAACATATATAGACATATTTCATATATGATTAAACATGTTTATGAATATTTATGTACGATTTATACATATTCATGTATGAAAAATTTTTTATTAGGATATAATATCTTATTATTTTATTAAAGAATATCGTATTATTTTATTAAAGAAACTTACTGATTTTATTTAATTATAATTATTTCATTTAATTAAAAATTAGATATATTTAAAAAAAAAGATTGGATTAAGAATAACAAATTGTATAATAATAAATGTTGCTTTAAATAAATCATCTTAATCAACTTATCCATATCGTTAACATGAATAGATTCATAAATCTTTTGCTCTGTTTAAGAAAGATTAGATTAGAGACAATGAATTATATATAATTGGAGATTTTATAATAAACAATTGCTAGTTAATTCTGTTGAATATCAATCACTGATAAATTAATCAGAGTTTAGTCATCTTGTATCCTCGTATTCTAAATGACAGTCATTCATAATTTAAAGAAAAAGAGAGAAACCCAGCAAACGAGAATGAATTGAAATGAATTGAAACGAATTCAGATTTTCAGAAATATTAATTCACGAATGTTAAAATGAATGCTTTTCAATCCTGAATGCATTTTTATTCATTTATAGAAATTGCATGGAGCATATCTCTATGCCTTTCAATCTAAAAATAATATTAGCTTTTTCTGTGCACAACACATATTATGAACCCTGTTCAATTCAAAATTTTGAATAGGAAATGCAGTTTTTCAATCCAATTGTATCCAATTGAATCTAATTGAATCCAATCAAATCCAAAAAGGTATTCGCTAAAAAATACATATTCAGATAGAAAAAAATTTCAATCTATTTTAATCCATTCTCGTTTTCTGGGAAGAGAGAAAAGAGGAAATTGCAATGTAAAAGCTATAATCAAATGACTGAATCATTCAATTATAAAAATAATCAATTTTTTTAGGCAAACTCACACAATACAGTTCTCTGAGAAATGTCTTGGAGACGTCCTTAGAAGATGGAGGTCCTTTGGAGACGTCTTTGTATGACACCTGAGCTGTAGAAGATGCTATATCGAAAAAAAAACATGAAGAAAGGTCTATATCAAGAAATGAATGAAAAGCGATCTATTTCGTGTGAGGCTTGAAGATTATATCGGAATGCATACGAATGGAATGCATAAGTACGGTTTATATCGAGAAAGCGAGAAGAATGGTTCAAGTCGCATGAATTAATTAAAGAACGGTCTATATAGCGCAATATTTATTACTTATAAATTACACAAATTTATTATGGAAAATTAAATAACATAGGAATAAAAATGAGTGCGAGAAATAGGATTGAAAATCAAGACGATTCCCGTTCTCAGTTATACCACTATAAAATTTATGAGAAGAAAATATTCCTTCTTCATATTTTTCTCGATATAGCACCTTCTATGCCTCAGGCATCGATGATATCTCTTATAGAGAACTTATATTGTATGAGAATGTATGCAATTAGGCATAACACTTGCTCAAATGAGAATTTATTATTAATTATCCTAAATAAATCAATGATATCGATAATTAATTAATAATAAAGGATCAAGAGAGCCAGATTCATGGAAACGATCGGGGATTTCAATGTGTGCCCGATCCCATCGTCTCTTCGTTACGGCGAGGAAAAAAGGCCTCAAGACATAAGATAAGTGCTGAAGTCCGTCAATATTAAAAAAAAGAAGGAGATAATCACTTACACAACAGCGATCGGTTTCTAACGAAGTAACAAGGCATGTCTGATTGATACTCATTCGCCATCAGCGCAAACTCAAGATTTTCGCAGCAGAAGGATGATGGGACCACGAAATTGGAATTCGCCACACTGCTCCTTTCCATCTGCGTTCTCTGCGAATCTTGTCGAAAAAATTCGTTGCGCTTCCCGAAGACGCTGTCTCTATAAAAAATATAACCTCCGTAAACGTGAGAAGACTTAAAAAAAAAAAGAGAAGATACGAGTCTCGCCGTTGCGATAACAATCGCGGATCGCTATCTATTTTCATGTATGAAGTCTCCGCTAGTCTGGGTATCGATTATATATCTTTTTTCCTAGAGCGAAAATGTGAAAAATGAAAAATTTTATGGTGCGTGCATGCGTATATATACACACATGCATACAAAAAATTTCACTTTTCACCTTAGGGAAAAAGATATATAATCGACACCCTGTTCTTTTTGGCTGAATTTTTGCACCATTTTTCATCTTTCTTCTTCTTCTTTCTTCCTAAAGAGAAAAGGAAGAAAGATAAACTAATGCAAAAATTCAGCCAAAAAGAACAGGCCTATGGTCAAGTATTTTCATCTTGGGGAACTTTTTAGAATGAGATGAATTCTTGTCTTGAATTACGTATTTAGTCTAATTATTTTTAGAAATTTTATCATTTCATTAAATACTTGTTGGATACAATCTCTACATATAACGTATAAATAAATTATATCCCCTTCTTTCCTGGCGAAAATAAAAAATTGGAATATTATACAATATATAGTGTTAGTCGAATGTAAGAGAGGATCAGTAATATAAAAACTTATTCTAGAAGGCAAAAATTGATCTTTAATAATTATTAATTTTTAAAATATTTTATCATTATTCTAAAATATCATCTGAAGAAAAGGAAGAATGCAGACTTAAATTATTATGAAATCGAAGAAGCGGCTCATAAGAAAACGACGCAGAAGCTAAGCAGCTTCTAATCCTATTAATAAAGATCGCGGCAGCTAATATTATGGTAATCTTGTGTACCTTATATATGAAACATGTGTATACATGTATATACATAAGCTAACAGCATGTTGCTCCGTCTGCAATCGACATGCAGCTTTGGATGTAGGTCAATCGGATCTTATGTTCAACGCGAAGTTGGCGTAGCATTTTGAATCGATGATCGATGTGCGTGTCGTGTGTGCGCACCGTCTCGCTCGCAGTGACGGACTTCAGATACTCGTGGGCTCTAAGCAGATTCGAATTGAGTCTCGGAATAAACGATGCAATTCTTATTCAGTTCAATTTTTACGATTGTAAAATTACGATTGTAAACAAGTGACATAATCCGTATATAGTCGTCCTTCATCTAAAATTAATTGATAAATAAATCGACCTAAAATATTAATCTAATAATAATCTCCCTAAAATTATCCATCTAATATTAATCGACCTGAAATTAAACAGCCTAAAATTAATTGGTCTAAAATTAAAAAAAATTCAGTCCAAAATCTATCCGCATGTTTTTAGAAAATTACAAAAAAAAATATAAGCAATAAGAGATTGTCAAAATGATTTAATATTATGCAAAGAAAATCTCGTATATCGTAATGAAATGATAGTACCGGCAATGTATTTGAATTAGAAATAAAAAATTGTTTACATGTATAACAATAGTGCGACAGGTGAAGGGCTCTTTTTTTTTGTGCACTCCTTTGCGGATAATCTATTACTCGCGCGCGGCGTCTGCGCGAAATTGTCATGTTGTCAACTTGTCAGTAGTTGACTAGCGATTCGTGTAGGTGGTTGACATCGGTCTGTTGTCTGATTATCAAAAAAATGATGACCTCGTCGGAAACGTCGGAGATGGAGAACCCGGGAGACGAGAAGGGCGCCGAGGACTCGGCGATCTTGGAGGTGAGCTCTATGGCAGTGGGCGGGATTGTGAAGCAAGAGAATCGCGACGTCGATTACCTGTCCAACTGCAGCACCTCCATCGAGGGATCCGTGGTACGAGCGTAACATAACCTGGAACCTACTTTGACAGTTCCCCATGCCTTACTCATACTGTCGTCCGTTGCCCTGGAATTGATCAATAAATTAGAATTATAGTAAATAACATAATATGTGACACGATATACGCGGTAGACTCATGATGATTTTGATCATCACTTCATATGTCCGACCATGAATTTAACTCTGTAGAGTTTCATATGATTAATTGATAAATATCAAGGAATTTATGCAATCTTGCAGCTTATGCCTCTTTCCATTAATAGCTGTTGACCCACTTTAGTTATAATTCTCTTTAACTTGCTCTAGTTTATTGTTCCGAAAGGGATCAATAATTAAAATTAAAGTAAACAATATAATATATGTGACATATAAGTTGTTTTCCATTTACACCGTTTCTCAGATAATTCTCACTTGTGACATCATAACTTAGTTGAATACATTCCTTTTACATTCTGACAAGTGAGATTTAATTGAGTTTTTACCTATAATCTGCACAAGATCGAGACCGTATGCTTTAGTGAGTTTTATAAACTTACTTTGAAGTCAGATTCGAACCTGTGTTGTCATGTGATAAGTTTTTACCAAACTAAGCAAATAATGACTTCATTAATCTGATTATGAAGTACTCAGCTCACTTCAGACTCAGTTTCACTTGTGTGTAAATGGAAAGCAACTATAATGTACCATATGTCTGATTATAAATTTAGCCTGAAGAATTTCATATGATTGATAGTTGACTGATATATACATCAAAGAATTTCTGCAGCTTGCCTTTCTTCTATCGACAGTTTGTTAACTGACTTTGGTAGTTTACTACCTTTTATTTGCTTTAAAAGAGATCAATAAATTAAAATTATAGTAAATAATATTATATATATATATATAAATATACAATAACGTATGAAAGATTTGTGTTATTCTTTTTTACATTTTGTATGATTTTTTTGATGTTTGACCATTAGTTTAACTGTAAAAAATTCCTTACAATTGATTATTAAATACAATTGATTATCAATAAATATTAAGAAATTTCTGTAATCTTACAGGTTGCGTCTCCTTCTATCGATAGCTTCTCTACTCTGCCGGATCAAGAGATATCAGACTTTCAGATAGATTCGCGAGATTTGCAAGTGAAAGTAGACAATCCGCAGAAACACCTGGAAACTCTGGAGACGTATATCACATTCCGTATAACAACTAGAGTACGACTTTATTACTACAATATGATTTCAATTTCTGATAATCTAAATAATAAAAATAATATAATATTAAATAATTCTGCAGACTACACGCTTAGAGTTTGAGGAAGGAGAATATGTAGTTCGCAGGCGATACAATGACTTCATTTGGCTGCGCCAAAAATTAGTGGACACTTATCCAACACACATTATACCAGTAAGTTTTCATTGTTATTTTTGATATATAAAATATATATGGTATATAAATTATAATTGAGATACATATGATACATATGATATATATGATTGAAATGATATACAAATCGAAGAGAAGCTAAAAAATTACAAATCTCGGGTTTTGTTACAGCCAATGCCAGGTAAGCATACGTTGCTCGCCCAATTGGACCGTTATTCCAAGGAATTTATCATAGCGCGTATGAAGCTTTTGCATATATTCCTAAATAGAGTCGTGAATCATCCTATTCTGAGTTGTGACAAGAATCTCCATATTTTTCTGACAACAAAACCTTCGGTAAGTATGACGTTGCTATAGCACTGTGTTAACTTTAAATCAATTACTGTTTAAATCAATTACAGGAATTTCTCGTTCATCGCAAAAATCGCGGGAACATGCTCGGAAAAGTGACAGATTCTTTGCAAAACATAGCAAGTACTTATACGATAAAGCAACGTCACTTGGAGTTCGAACAGATTCGGGACTACTGTACAGCATTGGGTGAAAAACTATCGGCCATAGATAAAATAAATCATCGCATACATAAAGAGAGGCAAGGTGCGCACAAAAATTGCTCATAAATACATGTCGTACATGTAATAAAATAGTTTTCAGCTATTTCTCATGTTGTACATTGTAATGCAATAGATTATTTATTGGAGCTTCATCAACTGCATCCTATATTCACACTGTGGGCAACTTCAGAACCGGAACTCACACCCATTTTGTTAGCGATCGCTAAAGCGGTAGAAGCAAACGCAATGGCTCATCAGAAACTTCTGGAAAATGTTCCTAATGACGAACGCGAGTATGTTTCATACATTGAAGCGGTCAAGAATGCATTGTCCCGCCGTGATTCGATGCAGATTGAATACGAGATAACAGTCGATGTATTGGCGAAAAGAAGATTAGAAAAGGATCAGGTACAAGTCTCGCTTATATCTTCCTCTTTTGTAACCTTTTTTCAAGTTAGTTAAAAAGAAAACTTAATATATTTCTAAATATATCAATAACGGCTTATAATTATTGATATACACTATAGAGAGATTTTAGATTTTTTAATCTAAGGAGATTAATAAATATTATTTACATTTTTATATTGCTAAAAAGTAGGCAGTTACTTGCATTTTATATTGCTATTTTATATTTCTAGAAAGTAGGCAGTTAATTGCAGTTACATTTAATTGCATTCGTATAGTTGGTAGGAAATACGAGTTACACGATTCCGGCACAAGGCTGGGGCGGATCTCTATGGAAAGCGGAATCTCGCGACGAAAAATTGGAAAGACTCGGTCAAGCTATTCCACGATTAGCCAAACAAGCGGAGATACTACAAGATCGCGTGGAGTGCGCGAATGAGAATCTGCGAAGCGATTTTCAGAGGTGGAACGTGGAGAAGCAACAGGATCTGAAGAACATGCTGATTACGATGGCGGATCGACATATCAGACATTATCAACAGTGCATGAACGCGTGGGAGGAAATTCTTACCGGTCTTAAATTGGACGGAATTGGATCTGACGTTAATGTAGGGCCGCCTGTTAAGATACCCGTTTGAACCGCTAGTCTTTTCGCCATTCAAAAGGACATAGAATAAATATTCGTTATATATGCGAAGGTAATATACCAGTTTAAAAGAATCTCTATTAAATAATGACACAAAGTTTATTACAATCTATAAAATGATCTATCATCAGTTTCGATATCATTGCTTTTAAAATTGAATCGTCATTTCTCGAAAAAGAAAAATTATGCAGTACTTGCGACATGACGCACGCATTTAATGACGATGAAAGTTGCATTTAATGCACGTTATAATATGCTAATATCAAAACTCTAAAATTCTGCAAAAATTCGCCTTTATGATACAATAATCTTGTGATAACATGAAATATTAAGTATAACGCATTTGGTCCTACACGCATGCAGGACATGTTTCGGTGTATATCACGTACAAGAAAACAAATTTCTTGTACATCTTGACGTTCTTTCTTTTTTAGAGGTTTAGATCATTAATTAGTTTTGGGGACCAAAGTATATCAAGACAATTATCGCGCCAATTATCCCTTCGCTCTCTCTTTCTTACTTTGAATCACATTACAATACATTTATTGACAATCAGTTTTGTCATCTATATCTACTAGTTACCAAAGTACAGTAGTTACCATGATAGCGTAGACAGCATCAATGTATAGTATATAGCATTGATAAATTTTACAAATCGGAGCAAAACGCTTGCGAGAGCTTCGTTGTATCGTTAATTAGTACCTTTAATCTATGTCTCTAAGTTATAAACAAGTCGCACCGCCCTGAATCGATTTTGCTTAGCAGCAAGTAAAAGAAAAGATGTAGCAAGAGTCCTATATGGCTTACACATTCCTCTGTATATCCGTTATTTATGCTCGAAAGGGAAGATACTCTTTCCTGCTAACAGTATTGTTAACAATTCGGAGTACATTTCTCTACATTATACGCCGCGACTCGGCGAGTTGGCAAAAATGGCGGAGTTTGTATCAATAAATAAATTATTGTTTGCAATGAAGTGCGATGGCTCCTGCATCTTTCCTCACTCCATTAAGGCGTCGTTTGTACGTTCTACGTAGTATTCTGGTGTTATGTAGAACTGCACCAGATTGTCCAGATCGATGAGTTTGGTTATAGATTCGCCTGCAACGAATTCGATGACACGCTTGTTCTCAAAAATTTGATAAATTCAGAAGATACTGACCTGCCAAGCTCATTTCGTTATGAAGAAAACGCACTGTGTGCGCGTATGGTTGTTGAATCTTTTCCCGCAACTGCGTAGCCAAACGGCGAGTTGGATTCCATAACTGGCTACGAAAATTCGGTATGTTTGTGATAGTCGGCTTCCAGGATTCAGGCTTTACTTCCTCCATTGGTAAGACATCCGTTATCCTGTATTGGCTCGTATCAATGTTCCATGTGAACTTACATCCGACTTCGTACTGTTTCCTCTCTTGCGGAATACTGGATATATCATATCAATTTATTGAAATTAATTATTGTTTTATTTAAAATGTAATATATGCAAAATTAATGTGCAAAGAAATCAACGAATATAATTTCTAGGATGGCATGTGTGCTTACCATTGTGTTTGGTTACATAACTCACTTGCTTGGATTTTCATTATATGCAAACATATAATATCGCCGCTAAGTGCACATACATCAATTATTTCGATATCATAATCGCTACAATGCCAATATTTTTTCTTGAATCTTGAGCAGATCCAATCTGCTATATGATGAGAAAAAGTCTCGATATCAAAACTCAATTGTGTTATAGAAACGCATGGCACTATCTGAAAATATTTTTCGTTACATCAGAAATACGTTCATATTTTATTTACAATTATTATTTCATTGATTATGTACGGGATGTTCGACAATAAGTAACAAAAAATTTAAAAATGATTTAAGGAAAAAAAGCTTCCGCCGAAATTTTATTATTTTATAGTATAATATATTCTCTCTCTCTCTCTCTCTCTCTCTCTCTCTCTCTCTCTCTCTCTCTCTTTGAAAGTTTAAATATTTATATAAAAGTGTTTAATGCATGTGAATGTTTAAACATTTATAATTAAAAAACGAAGCCCAATTTCGTTTTTCTTGATTATAATATATATTTATATTTTAATCGTCTAAAGAGATTCTTTGTACAAAATTACACATTGAGAAAGTTTAATTTTTTGAAATAATAAATACTTACCAGTTTTTCCGCTTTACTATTGCTGATCATCTGCATTTGAACATATCCGGAACCATGCACGAGCATCGGAAGTACACACTGGTAACTTACATACCCTCCTGTTTCTTCATCTACAAGTATTATTTCAATATAGCACTAGTTACAGTAAAAAATATTACAAGAAATAATCTGCAAAATCATATCTGCAAATTAATAATAACAAATCTACAAATTTGAATATATATATATATATATACCTTCCACATCTGTGATCACCGATATCATCTCATCATCGAGTTCTATATAGCTCCGTTTAAAACGCGCGGTACATTTTATTAAAGGATACTGCAAGTTATTTCTAGGAACCAACGGCGAGAAATTCGAGCAACATTTGCTGATGCGGTCTCTATGCACGCTTCCATTAGACAGCTGATTTTGATTCAATGGTCGTAAGACACTTTTTTCAGCTAAAAAATAAACGTATAAAGTTTGTGTCACTTTATTCGAATTCTCATTCCATTTCGATAATAATCGTGAGATTGTACCTGATTCGGTATTCGATAAGTCGTTGGCTATACTAATATCTTGAGCAAGATTTAATTCGTCCGATTCACTCTGATCCGAATCGACCCAATGCCTTCGGCCATTGGGTAGAACCGGCGACATCGCTGGGGAGGAGGGAATCTGATGTATGGAGCAGGTACCGCGATGTCTGAACTGATCGCGTATGTGCTTGAAAGGAACTATATTCTCTGCGTCCTCCGTCTCATCGCAAAACTCGTACTTCTTGTCGGCAAGTCGGCGCTTCCTGAATGAACTTAGCTTTTCGCAGGTCGTCTCTTGTGCCTCATCGGTGAACTCATACGCCTTCTCCGCCTCGAGGATGAGTTTGTGCGTCGCTCTCGTCGTTCTTGTCGATTGAGCCGTCACGGGCGGAGGTGAATGGAGATTCGATCTTTTGCGAGGGCTCGGATGGCGAAAGGATCGGGCAATGGGCGGCGACATCAAACGAGATGAATATGAAGACGAGGGACTAATTGATACGGATTGCAACGGTGAATTTATGGAAGCCACGGAGTTGTCTCGTTGCGACGCGCCAGGTTGCGGCGAGTTCGGACGTTGCTGGCTGCTACTGCTATTGCGTTGGACCTGGATTCTGTGACTAGATTCCGAATTGCGAGTGCGAAGTATGTCCGACGGTGGAGTGAGAATCGGTAACGACCACGTGGTCATCGCCCTGAGATCAGCGGGCAGTCTCTGCGGTGTCGAGCGTGGCGAGCACGACGGATGTTTCACTAACGTGATAAGATCGCTGCCGATATTGAGTTCCTGCGATGTGTCTTCGCAGAAATCCTGCAGGATCTTGTCCCGTACTGAGATGGCCGTCTGCTCGACGCCGACCGGCCGCGAGACAGGGCTGCTGCTGCTACTGCTGCTGCTATTTCGGCACTTGCATTCAGTCATGTCCGAGCATTCGCATAACTTAACATTTAAAGCGCCTGCAGCGGTAGACTTACTATTTATATCACAGACATAGTCGCTTTGATTATTGCTTGAGGTATTTAATAGCAAATCGTGTCCTAGCTTATCGTCTAATTTTATTGGCTCGTCTAAAAAGTCGTGCTCTATGCTGGATTCGCATTTGGGAGATCGATCGACGCATTCCGGCGTGCTCACTTTCTCATCCGAACTCTCATATCGTTCTGTCCTTGTCGAGTAATCCGTCTCCTCGACATCGCTCATGTCCAGTGGGATCGTGTCCGGAACGACGGGATCATGCATAACATTATCCTGTTTATCGCACGCTCTCTGATTCTTCGACTTAGGTATATTTAAATCTACCCTGAGAACATGTAGGAAGTTTCCCGTATTGACCACCACGTGATTCCAATAATTGAGACATACTGTAGCTCGAAACTTCGGATACGGCGAGATGACTTCATAAGTCGTGTGAACCGTAAGGCCATGTTGTAAACAGTTACATCGTACACAGCTATCCCAATTCGCGGCTAATTCTGACAAAGTTAATTTCGATTAATACTATTGTAATTACGCTGTTGCGAGTATATTTAATATATTATTTTCAAATACAATTTTAAAAAAATGTATTTTCAAATTACATTTTTAAAATTATTTATACAATGATTTCAAATACAGTTTAAAAATATTGCATAAATGATTTCATATACAATTTGAAAATATATTTATTTTTTTCTCTTAAAAATTGCGAATTATTCATTACCTTCACCTTCTTCTTCATACGATGCAGCAACTTTCAAACAATCTTTGCAATTCTCGAGAGACGGTACTGTCGTTATAGTTAAATATGCTCTATCAGTCGGTTGTAAATGTAAGAAATTTGTACTGTAACAGATAAATAATATTGTTGATTTGTATTCCTTATTTTAGAGCTTTTTAAAAAGACAAAATCTGTTTTTTCTTGATTTTTTATAGATAAATTAGTGTACACTTTTTATATTTAAAAGGAAATAGATGTATGTTTGAAATTTGGCAAAAGTGAGAAGAAGAGTTCTAGTGTAGTCTAGTGCAGCAATAAAAAATAAATTTTAAAAAGTATCTATTAATCAAAAGTACATACCCGAGACCGTGAATTACAAGTTTATTCCGCTCCATCGGCCACTGAGATATAACTATGCTTAATTCTCTATAAATTGTATAATTGCCGAACAATGTAACTTCGGAAACTTTGCGGGCTACACGGTTGGGTGTGAAAGCCCACCAATGTAATAGATATTTGTACAAAGACGTGTTGCTGCTGACGTCCAACGTGTATGTATACGTGAGCAGGAACTGACCACATTGCGTTAAGCCCATAACAATATGCCTTAGAAAACGAAAATATCTTTACAATCGTCATTCATCTAAATAGAATTATTTTACATTTATATTTCTGTAGCGAGTATATTAATGAGATAATTTTAGATACTCGCTGCTTATATTAACCCATTTCTTGCCACCTTGCTTCCTTCGGGTCAATATTCGTAGTCCGTTCTCATATTTAACATTCAACAATAGCTTCAACAAAAACTTAAGTTATAAAGTGTTCTTTTGAACTCTATATATATATATATATATATATATACACACACACACACACAGAATGCAGATTTTTGCCTTACGGCGACTGATAGAGGAAGGTTCAAAGATCTTTTTTTTTACAATTTAGGATTTTATAGTATTAATCATTGTACAACTGTTTAAAAATGTTCGTTTCATTATGAGTACTGGCCTATAAATATCGACCTCAGTTTCTGTGAAGAAAACATCAAAAGCTTGTGATAACAATTTCTACTTATTTTATCTCATTTAAATTAGACTATAGCTACAAGGGGAATGCAGCAAAAGAATGGATCAAATAAATCTGTGCATTGAGTCGAAGTTGTTGGCATACCCTGCCTCAAGTGCCGATTTTGGGATTATGTGCAGAAGATGGAAGTGTCGCCATTTAGGCACAGCTGTAAACAGTCTTTCTTCTAAGGCGTAATTGTGCGCTGATAGACATCCTCTCATCTGCAAGCAAAAATCATGCAGTTACAGAATACCTTGCACACAGTTATCTATATAAATCAACTCTATTATATTATTTCCATAAAATTTTTTAGGCATGAAACTAGGATTTTCTAGGACACTGACAAACCGAGAGTTATCTTAACTCAGTAAAATAATAGTAATATTACATCAATATTATAATTATATTCCTTCAACAATGTAACTGTTATGTACAATATGTATTGTATTACATTTATATTATTGAAATTATAATATTGATGTGTGAATGTTACTGTGATTTTGTGTACAGGAAGATATTAAAAGAAAAAAAAGGAGCGTGAAATTTATGCATCCAGAAAGATGCTTTTTATTAAGTTTTAGTGCAAATAGCTGTTTATTCTAATTAAATCAATGAAGCCAGACGAATAATGCCTGATTCTTTAAGAATCGTCATAGGTAAGAAATCGTTCTTGACAGTATGAGGCGCGGTGCCTTGAGGCCTGTCACTCACCGATGCCACTCGAGTCGCGAAAAGGTGGCTTACCTCCCTTATCAGTAGCTTCTGAAGGAGGTTCCGCTTGCTGCGACGATGCGATGTGCATGGCTTGCATCCCACCACGACGTACTCCGACTTTTCCGACGTAATGTCAGAGAAACATTCATTGCAGCAGTCCGAGGTAGTGTCGGAAGACGACGCGTCCGCCATTTTTAAATAACCTCGCTCGTGCTCGTGTGGCGTCGAGTACGCTCGCGTGGAGCGGTAGTGGTGTATTTTGAGTGTATTGTATACTTGTGTCTCGGCGACGGAACGGAATGATGAAAAGGGTCGCCGCGGCGATGTGCGCGGTGCACAGTCCGATTCTTCTCGCGCGATAAGTAGCGACGCTGCCGACGCACACACGCGTGCGCTGCGTGCGGCGTGCGTGCGTGACTCCTCACTTCTCGAGTCCTCGCTCCTCGCCGCTCCTCGCAGTAGCGGTGGCGAGTGACGACCGCGGCGACACGTCGCTGCCGCAACAGTTTTTGTGCTCGCGTATGTTATTTGACGCGCAATTTAATAGCGTTCCTATTATAGGAACACTACCATTTGATAGCTTATCGCTCTAACAGTTTGCGCCCGCAATTTGCGGGCCTCCTTAATGATAAATATAATAACGTGAACGTATAATTGCGGTAATTTTATTTGTTTTAGCAATTTTCTTTTCGACTCTCTTTGTCAGGACTTTGTTATTTTCTGCGATCATATGGGTTGTAAACAACATTTGTTTGTGTACAATATTAGTAAAAAGTATTATTATTTCTTAATTTATCTTAAATAAAGAAGAATTTAGAAACTGATAAATTGCAGATGAAATGAAATTTTTATTAGAGTGTTGCTCACTGTTGCTTTCTTTTTGTCAAATATAAAAATACCTGATATTCTTTAGTGCAATATGGACTTTGACATAAATACAATTAAATTACATTTTACATTTATAGAATTACAGATTACGTATTTGTATAAAAGTCATCACTTTTAATCACTTTCTTGCAGAGAAAAAAGAATGAAAGCAGCTTTCTTATACATATGATGCAGTGATATAGTTAGCAGAATTAGGTTAATATTACATTTGTTGACAAAGCATTTCAAGTCTTGATTGGTTACAAGAAAGAGAAGAAATCTCTTTATCCTACAGCTAATCGATAAACTTAAAATCTTTGTCAGACAAATATAATATCAGCCCAATATATATTTGAACTCATTCTAAATATTTTGTTTTTAAGGAAAAGTATCTGTGAAGATAATTAATTAATTTGCTTTTAGATGAAGTATCTGTAACGATAGTGAAGTAAAAGAATAGCTACTTAAGTTATATCTTACATTTGTAATGTAATTATTTTTATAAAAGTCCGTTATTTTCTTATGGAGAGAAAAGAATGAAAGCAGCTAGTTTGCATTTATATATAATTTACCTTAATTATTTAAAATAAAATTTTACATATACATACACATATACAAAACACACTCCGCACGCCCGCGCGCGCACACACACACACACACACACACACACACACACACACACACACACACACACACAAAAGAAATAATTCTGAATCTTATGTTTAGATACGAAAATCATCTGTGAAGATAATCAGCTTTAGAAATTACTTCTATTATTATATATATATATATATATATATCACGATTTATTACGAGTAAAACAAAATGGATATCACTTTAGATGATAAACTGTCCATACTTCAGCAAATCAATCAGCAGAAACTTGTGAAGATACTAGATACTATCCCAGGATCAAAGGATCTGATAATAGAACAGAAACTGATGAAAATATTGGACAGTTTCGTAGGAGTGACTGTATTGAAGTAAATATTCTTATATTCTAATATTTACATATCACTTTTGTTATCACAATTTATAATAATTGTGTATCATTTTACTTAGGCGATACGGAGTGGACAAGATTTATAAGTTGGAGGAAGGACTGAAGACATCAAACAGTCAACGTATATTCTTAGTATCTAATAGCTTGATCGCATGCAAGAGGGTTTTAGATCAAATACAATCTGAAATATCCTTAACTGGCAAACCACACGTTCAAGTATGCCATCATTTGTTGGTCATGCCGTTTGTCCCACCTGTCTTACACAATCTAATCGAAGAAGAAGGTCAGCAAATTATAACGATATCATTATCGGTTCTGTTTATTTCTAACACCAAATCATTTATTCAGGCTTGTCCGAGTTACTTACATTGCAGACGTTTTCCATAGAATTCATAAGATTAGACGGAAACGTTTTATCCTTGGAAAATCCAATGTTTGTCGAGCTCTACTATCATAAAGACACAAGTTCTCTGCGAGCGTTAGCACGCAACCTGTGGTCATTGCAATTGATACTCGGTTCGCCGAGGCTCTCACTTTTTCTCGGCAAGCACAGCCAACAAATGAGCAAGCTGATGGAATCTATGGAGCAGAGTCTGGGTTCATCTAGTCTAGAAAACGAAGTTGGCGCCTTCATTGTGATGGATAGGAATTTTGATCTGGCTACAATTCTCCTGACGCCCGTAACATACGCAGGCTTATTGAACGAAGTTGTGGAAATAAATGTCGGCATAGCGACGTTGGAAAAATCGCAAACCAGATTAGATCCGAATAAAGATCAAATCTATGGAGAAGTGAGAGATACACCCTGCAGTGATGCTTTCCCGATTTTACACAGAAAGGCCAAGTCACTCAAATGTATTAATTTTTATATATGCATTATGTATCACAGATCCCGCTTTGTCGATATTTTAACAACTTACTAATATAGCTGAACAGGAAGCGATACAAACAATGAAGTTGGTCGAAATGGAGAGATATGTGTCGACGAGATTGCAAAGAACCAGAGACATGACCCAGCAATTAGCATTTCATATATCTGCATGTCAGGCCATCGCGGACACGGTAGGCTCAGAGTTTCAAATCTTGCAAACGATTGAAAAACTGATGCTCGACTGTAAGGACCGAAAAGAATGCTTGAGCTACATTGAGAGGAATATAGGTACCTTTTCTAACGTTAGAATTAATTAAATTAGAACTATATTTATTGCAATCGATATTAGAAATTAATTAGAATTAAAATGATTTCATTATGATTAAAATATAAAATACTTTTTTTGCAGATGAGCATGAGTTACGATGTTTGCGCCTCCTTTGCCTGTTGTCTATCACTACTGATGGTGTCACGCAAAACGAGATTTTAGATATCCAAAAGATGCATCTTCATATTCATGGTTATCAGCACATCCCACTGTTCTATAAACTGCGCACAACTGGCTTGCTAAAGTACAGGAACGAATATATTTTACATAAACTGCCGAACTGGAGCAGCGAGTGGAGTAGCAATGCGCAAAAATTGAAAATGTTACCTGGCTCTTTAAAACGATCCGATCAAAACAGTCGTACTTGTCCTAGCTACGTATTCAATAATGCTTATATACCAGCAATAGTTCGTATTTCATTCGCGTTCTTTTTCCATATTATTAATTAAGCGATGTACTGTGCGATATTAATACAATACCGTTTAACACATTACAGGCACAAATATTAAATATTGTATTAAATCAGGAGAAGGATCCTCGCAGCTTCGAAGATCTGACAAATCTACCGACTTGCATTGTAAATGGTCACCGGGGCGCATTATCGCCAAAAATGGTCGTTATCTGCATAATAGGAGGCATTACTTGCGCAGAAATAGCGGCTTGCCGGCTCATAGAGAAGTCTACAGGGATACGTCTCGTTCTTACATCCGACACTATTCTAACGGGTAACAAACTGATCCAGAGGATAAAAAAGATTTGAAGACTCGTGGCATCTGTCAGGAATGTAAAAATGTTTTTTCCGTGTCATAAATTAATCAAAATTACACATTTGTTTTATATAAGTTATATATACTTTTTTGTGACGATTGTGGGAAACAAATTGCTTAAATAATTCTGCAATATATCAACGGAATACAATTGTTTGTATAGATCATCGACATTATTTATGTATTGGTAAAACGTTACAATGATATTTGATATCTCAAGTTTTATTTTATACCATTTTGATATTGATGTTATCATATACTTAATAATTCCGATTCTCTTCCCTATTACGATCACGATCGCGATCGCGATCGCGTCTCTGCCGGCCCCAATCCTGTTGGCGATTGTAATTCTGACGATCGCGGAAATTGCCTTGATTCCCTCTCGAAAAGAAGTTACCTGCAAGAGTTTATATTTATTACGAATTAGAAGATTATGCTAAAAATAAATTTTTATACTGAATTATGAAATAAATATGTAAAATATATATGAAGTATATAATTTTGTTAAAAAATTGTTTGAATAAACTTCCAAAAATTATATAATAAGCATTTTAATCTATTATCTAATATCTATTTTTTATTACAGTAATCTATTCTAAATTATTTCTTTAATCAATATTTCTGTCAACAAAAATAAAATATCAAAAAAATTAAATATATGTGATTGAATATCTTAATTTTCTCTCTTTTTCCCTACCCCTCTTTTTCTTTATATTGTCATATACGATTAATATTTTAATAATTTTGTACTTTTTATTATATTTGTAATGTATACAAATTTATTTATATATATTCAACAAAGTTTCAGTGCAATGCTTCATGTTCCATGATAATTAATCTCTGCAATCTCTGCATCTTTGTTAATTTGCGAGTGACTTTAGCATTATGGACATGTGAGCTAATTATATTTGTATCATTCTTGCTGAGGACTCCAAAGAGAGTCGAAACGTTCAAAATAAAGAAGACATCCATCCAATATGATTGATTGTTTACTAAATAATTGCGCCGTTTATCGTTGCTGAATCTCATTAGCCTACTATATTTATTTTTTGTATGGTTGAAAAATAAAAGCAATAATTTATTCAAATAGAACATTTATATTAAAAAGGAATATAATTTTAATATTAATTTTTATAAAAAAAATTGATCTATTTAATATTATTGAACAATTTTGATAGCAGTCAAGTCAATGATCTCGACGATACACCAAAATAAAAATCGTGGTGGTATAAATAAAAACCATGATAAAAATCGTCAAAAATATTTCATTCGTCTGTTGTATGTACCTTGTTTCATTTCGAAGATACGTTCATTCGAATCTACAAAGTTGTTGACTTTATCAGTCAATTGCAAAGCCAATGATTGAAGGCGGCTTGGTTCGCTTCGATGCATAACTACAGTTCCAGTTGGGTCATCCAATGACGCCTAGATTTATAAAAAAAGGAATATATAAATTATATAGAATTATATAAATCATTATATGCAACACAGATATCTCTGCATAGTACCATGAGCTCTTCGTTAATGATCATTTTACTGATAATTGAATGGACTATGGGCCGCTTCAACTGGAACATGTCAGCGAGCTTTGGCATCGAGATCGAATCGTACACATGTGAGTATGTAAATAGATAAGTCCTCAATGCCTCTTCCTTGATTAATCGTGTTAACATAGCTCGTACTTTGTCCGCTTGATGAAAAAGATCCCATACCTATTTTGACAAAAGTAATTATTACCTCGTATTCTTAATTTGAAAAAAAATTGTTAATGTAAATTTCTAATACCTTTGCATTCATTTTTTCATTTATAATATAATTGTTGCAAGCGGACCAATTTCCGTTACGCATTGCTTTGGCAGCAGCAACGACGTGCTCTCTCATGGATTCCGGAGGTCCGACTAACGACTGACGTTCA